TAATACTGAACCATCAACTGGCAATGTTGTCCTCACATGAAATACTAAACCATCAACTGGCAACGTTGTCCTCGCATGTAATACTGAACCATCAACTGGCAATGTTGTCCTCACATGTAATACTGAACCACCAACTGGCAATGTTGTCCTCACATGTAATACTGAACCATCGACTGGCAATGTTGTCCTCACATGTAATACTGAACCATCAACTGGCAATGTTGTCCTCACATGTAATACTGAACCATCAACTGGCAATGTTGTCCTCACATGTAATACTAAACCATCGACTGGCAATATTGTCCTCACATGTAACACTGAACCATCAACTGGCAATGTTGTCCTCACATGTAATACCGAATCACCAACTGGCAATATCGTCCTCACATCAAATACTAAACCATCAACTGTCAATGTTGTCCTCACATGTAATACTAAACCATCGACTGGCAATGTTGTCCTCACATGTTACACTGAACCACCTACTGGCAATGTTGTCCTCACATGTTACACTGAACCACCAACTGGCAATGTCGTCCTCACATGTAATACTGGACCACCAACTGGCAATGTTGTCCTCACATGTTACACTGAACCACCAACTGGCAATGTTATCCTCACATGTTACACTGAACCACCAACTGGCAATGTCGTCCTCACATGTAATACTGAACCACCAACTGGCAATGTTGTCCTCACATGTAATACTGAACCACCAACTGGCAATGTTGTCCTCACATGTTACACTGAACCACCTACTGGCAATGTTGCCCTCACATGTAATACTGAACCATCAACTGGCAATGTTGTCCTCACATGTAATACTGAACCATCAACTGGCAATGTTGTCCTCACATAAAATACTGAACAACCTACTGGCAATGTTGTCCTCACATGTTACACTGACCCATCAACCGGCAATGTTGTCCTCACATGACATACTGAACCATCAACTGGCAATGTTGTCCTCACATGACATACTGAACCATCAACTGGCAGTGTTGTCCTCACATGTAATACTGAACCACCAACTGACAATATCGTCCTCACATGACATACTGAACCATCAACTGGCAATATTGTCCTCACATGACATACTGAACCATCAACTGGCAATGTTGCCCTCACATGTAATAATGAACCACCAACTGGCAATGTTGTCCTCACATGACATACTGAACCATCAACTGGCAATATTGCCCTCACATGTAATACTGAACCATCAACTGGCAATGTTGCCCTCACATGTAATACTGAACCATCGACTGGCAATGTTGTCCTCACATGTAATACTGAACCACCAACTGGCAATGTTGTCCTCACATCTAATACTGAACCACCAACTGGCAATGTTGTCCTCACATGTAATACTGAACCATCAACTGGCAATGTTGTCCTCACATGTTACACTGAACCAACAACTGGCAATATCGTCCTCACATGTTACACTGAACCATCAACTGGCAGTGTTGTCCTCACATGTAATACTGAACCACCAACTGGCAATGTTGTCCTCACATGTTACACTGAACCACCAACTGGCAATATCATCCTCACATGTTACACTGAACCACCAACTGGCAATGTTGTCCTCACATGTTACACTGAACCAACAACTGGCAATGTTGTCCTCACATGTTACACTGAACCATCAACTGGCAATGTTGTCCTCACATGTAACACTGAACCACCAACTGGCAATGTTGTCCTCACATGTTACACTGAACCAACAACTGGCAATATCGTCCTCACATGTTACACTGAACCACCAACTGGCAATGTTGTCCTCACATGTTACACTGAACCACCAACTGGCAATGTTGTCCAAACATGTTACACTGAACCACCAACTGGCAATGTTGTCCTCACATGTAATACTGAACCACCAACTGGCAATGTTGTCCTCACTTGTTATACTGAACCACCAACTGGAAATATCGTCCTCACATGAAATACTAAACCACCAACTGGCAATGTTGTCCTCACATGTAATACTGAACTACCAACTGGCAATGTTGTCCTCACTTCTAATACTGAACCACCAACTGGAAATATCGTCCTCACATGAAATACTAAACCATCAACTGGCAATATCGTCCTGACATGTTACACTGAACCACCAACTGGCAATGTTGTCCTCACTTGTTACACTGAACCAACAACTGGCAATGTTGTCCTCACATGTAACACTGAACCATCAACTGGCAATGTTGTCCTCACATGTAATACTGAACCATCAACTGGCAATGTTGTCCTCACATGTAATACTGAACCACCAACTGGCAATGTTGTCCTCACATGTTACACTGAACCAACAACTGGCAATGTTGTCCTCACATGTTACACTGAACCAACAACTGGCAATATTGTCCTCACATGTTACACTGAACCATCAACTGGCAATGTTGTCCTCACATGTTACACTGAACCACCAACTGGCAATGTTGTCCACACATGTTACACTGAACCACCAACTGGCAATGTTGTCCTCACATGTAATACTGAACCACCAACTGGCAATGTTGTCCTCACTTGTAATACTGAACCACCAACTGGAAATATCGTCCTCACATGAAATACTAAACCATCAACTGGCAATGTTGTCCTCACATGTAATACTGAACCATCAAATGGCAATGTTGTCCTCACATGTTACACTGAACCATCAACTGGCAATGTTGTCCTCACATGTAATACTGAACCATCAACTGGCAATGTCGTCCTCACATGTAATACTGAACCAACAACTGGCAATATCGTCCTCACATGAAATACTAAACCATCAACTGGCAATGTTGTCCTCACATGTAATACTGAACCATCAACTGGCAATGTTGTCCTCACATGTAATACTAAACCATCGACTGGCAATATTGTCCTCACATGTAACACTGAACCATCAACTGGCAATGTTGTCCTCACATGTAATACCGAATCACCAACTGGCAATATCGTCCTCACATCAAATACTAAACCATCAACTGTCAATGTTGTCCTCACATGTAATACTAAACCATCGACTGGCAATGTTGTCCTCACATGTTACACTGAACCAACAACTGGCAATGTTGTCCTCACATGTTACACTGAACCACTAACTGGCAGTGTTGTCCTCACATGTTATACTGAACCACCAACTGGCAATGATGTCCTCACATGTAATACTAAACCATCGACTGGCAATATTGTCCTCACATGTTACACTGAACCACCTACTGGCAATGTTGTCCTCACATGTTACACTGAACCACCAACTGGCAATGTCGTCCTCACATGTAATACTGGACCACCAACTGGCAATGTTGTCCTCACATGTTACACTGAACCACCAACTGGCAATGTTATCCTCACATGTTACACTGAACCACCAACTGGCAATGTCGTCCTCACATGTAATACTGAACCACCAACTGGCAATGTTGTCCTCACATGTTACACTGAACCACTAACTGGCAGTGTTGTCCTCACATGTAATACTGAACCACCAACTGGCAATGTTGTCCTCACATGTTACACTGAACCACCAACTGGCAATGTTGTCCTCACATGTTACACTGAACCAACAACTGGCAATATCGTCCTCACATGTTACACTGAACCACCAACTGGCAATGTTGTCCTCACATGTAACACTGAACCATCAACTGGCAATGTTGTCCTCACATGTTACACTGAACCAACAACTGGCAATATCGTCCTCACATGTTACACTGAACCATCAACTGGCAATGTTGTCCACACATGTTACACTGAACCACCAACTGGCAATGTCGTCCTCACATGTTACACTGAACCAACAACTGGCAATGTTGTCCTCACATGTTACACTGAACCAACAACTGGTAATATCGTCCTCACATGTAATACTGAACCATCAACTGGCAGTGTTGTCCTCACATGTAACACTGAACCACCAACTGGCAATGTTGTCCTCACATGTAATACTGAACCACCAACTGGCAATGTTGTCCTCACATGTAATACTGAACCATCAACTGGCAGTGTTGTCCTCACATGTTACACTGAACCACCAACTGGCAATGTTGTCCTCACATGTAATACTGAACCACCAACTGGCAATGTTGTCCTCACATGTAATACTGAACCACCAACTGGCAATGTTGCCTTCACATGTAATACTGGACCATCAACTGGCAATGTTGTCCTCACATGTTACACTGAACCACCAACTGGCAATGTTGTCCTCACATGTAATACTAAACCATCGACTGGCAATATTGTCCTCACATGTAACACTGAACCATCAACTGGCAATGTTGTCCTCACATGTAATACTGAACCACCAACTGGCAATGTTTGTCCTCACATGTAATACTGAACCATCAACTGGCAATATCGTCCTCACATGTAATACTGAACCACCAACTGGCAATGTCGTCCTCACATGTAATACTGAACCACCAACTGGCAATGTCGTCCTCAGATGTAACATTGAACCATCAAGTGTCAAAGTCATTTTCTCATACAACAATAAGCTGACAATGTCCTTGCCTGCAACACGAAAGCCTCGGCTGTCAGGGTAGTACTCCTTTTAGAATAAATATCCATGCAAAACAGTATTTCAGATTATCGAAGTGATGCAGGTCCTAGACGATGACAACTTTGGTAAAATCCACGAGCACTGGTGTGCAGAGAAACCAAGAAAGAACTTTTGCGAACTATATCAGTGCATAATGGTAACACTCATCCTACCATTTAGAACTACTATTTAAGTTAACATTTATAAGCCAATCAATAATACATGTACATTGCATACAGTGTATTTTCTGATATATATTTTTTTGAACAGCTGTGTTATTTCTTTTTTTATTGTCTCTACCGTACTAATGTTCCCATGTTATTTCTATATTGTAAACATTTATTTCTACACCTTTAAAATTTGATGATGGAGTCATAAGAGTGTGACACCAAAAAATGTTTTAAGCCTAAAAACATATACGTATTTGCATAGATTTGATGTTTGTGCTCGAAATACGAACCTTGAGTCTGGTTGACTGCAGGGAGAAGTTTCTGCAACAAAACAATGTGTAAATCAGTTTTATGCAAACAACGATAAAACGTCCATTATCGTTTATTATCTCAACCCACCAGGCGGTGGTATATGAGCAACATAATAACATACATATATACAAAAAATACAATGTGATCAAATGGCAACAGCGGTTTACTTTAGTACAGAGAGTAATATGTTTACAAATTTAGATAGTTTTTTTAAGATGGTAAGTTCTCCTATTTGACATCAAATGCTTAAAGGATATATGTTTGACCAGTTTAGATATCTATTATCAATTAATGTTTTTCTTTGCTGGTCAAAATACTTACAACTCAACAATTCAACACACCAACAGAATACTATAAGTCAACAAAGTACATCTGTCAGGCTGTGTGTGTGTCTGTGTGCGTGTGTGTGTGCGTGTGTGTGTGCGTGTGTGTGTGCGTGTGTGTGTGTGTGTGTGTGTGTGTGTGTGTGTGTGTGTGTGTGTGTGTGTGTGTGTGTGTGTGTGTGTGTGCGTGCGTGCGTGCGTGCGTGCGTGCGTGTGTTTGTGTGTGTGTGTTTATTGTCAACATCTCAGAACATCATCAGTCTGTTTATGCCTGATTCAGATGTGGGAACGCAGAAGAAAGTCAAACAATATGAAGCTGGAGAGGAATCAGAGGTTTCAAATATATGTTAACTGTCTACATATAATTACTGCACAGTAAAAATGTTTAATGACATCAAATGACACCAAATGACATCAACTATCCTTTAATACTGCCCGTGTTTGTGCAGAGGTTTTAAAAAGCTATGAAATGCGTCTAGTCGCGAAATAAATGTATATATCTTTACATATGTTTAGGTTCCAACATACATTAACGGTTCTGTGATATTGCATAAGTTCATGTAGAGGTTTCAAATATTTACTAGTCGCGACTTTGGTACTCTCTTAACATATGTTCAGGTTCCAACTTACATTAACGGTTCTGTGATATTGCATATGTTCATGTAGAGGTTTCAAATATATACTAGTCGCGACTTTGGTACTCTCTTAACATATGTTCAGGTTCCAACTTACATTAACGGTTTTGTGTTTCTGTAGCTGGATCGTCGTTTAATGTGAACATACAGTAATCCGTGAATATTGGCGTGTATTTTGATGTGCTAATATCAGTTGTAGTCACTGAATTGTAATAAATAAAATTGGCAATATTTCTCTATTAAGTATTCAATAGTTTCTTTACCACATTTCTAGCTGTTAGATGAACGCCCCAATACAGTTTATAGATTCACAATAATAATGGTTTCATGCTTTTCTATAAGTGTAATTCAATAAATATTACTTACATCTCTTTCATTGGCTTCAAATGCAATTGCATATGCTTGACAATAGGCGAAGCCCAGTATATACACAGCCAACGGCTTCCCTCGTCTGTGTCTCAGGACTCTGGCCTCCATATTATCTGATACCAGATAGAAGCAGGCTGAGATATTGGTGTTCGTGACTGGCATCCATGCTGCTCCTGAGATGGCAACGTCGTCCAACAGAATGTCGTCCACGCCGTCGTTCTCGACCATGATGACAAGGTATCTACGGGGGCCAGAGAACGCTGTGGCATCCGGCACTGTGATTGTGTAAAGCAGGCCCCTCAGTGGAAGGGGATGAAGCATGTACGTGGACACATCACCCTGGATACTGCCAGAAAGACCTGATTTGGTTGTCATGGATACGACTGCTGATTTCGATATTTCAATCAATTTGAACTGATTTCGCTGAATACGTAGCCTAGTTATCTCCCTTGCATTGGCGAGTATTGACGTTGTTCCATCAAACGAGATCTCTGTGTCGGCTTGTGTAGAGACGATGTTTATGTAGTCCTGGACATCAGACAAAGGTAATCCAAAAGCAATGTATTTAGTACCTATTTTATCTAAACTAAGAAGTTGAGTTATTTGCCCGTCCGCACAAAGATCCTTGGAAGATGAGGTCCTATTTACTCCAGTCAAAACGGCAATAGGTTTGTTAGAAGCAATGTACGTCCCAGAAAGTTCATCGACGGATTGCATCTGAAACGTTTGGTTCTCTTGCAATATGATTGAAAATTCCCTAGATAATAACTGCGGGAGTCCATTTATTACTGCAGAAATGTTAGCATGTGACTCTGGAAGGGTGACCTTCACCTGAGTGTTTGGGAAAGGGGAGACTACTCCCACCGTTGCTGCACCGTATGAACTGTAGGAGTCAGGCGCCACGACCACATACTCCTTTCCCAGTTGGCTCGTCTCCTTCACTTGATACATATCAAGGTTCGACGCTTCAGCGTTCAGTGCCAGCACTGAAACATCGTCGGAGGCCACGACGCGGATTATCCTGTTTGACGTCGTAGTTCCTGTCGGCATCTGTACATCATGGGACAATGTGACCTTGGTTCTTTGTCCTGGGTCAAGCGTGAGGTTTTGGAAAGGAGCTGTGTTGTTGAGATAAGGAACAAACACTTGAACTGTAACTGGTTGAGGGCGCGATGAGGTTATGTACAGGTACATATTTCCGGCATAACTATCAAAGTTCTGTGTAAAAACCGTCACGTATGTCCTTTCTGAAATTGAGAATCATATAAGTAAGGTTTAAGATATACCATACCATCGTTAGTACTTCACGGCTTTGTGCATTATACTTTCATCTTTCATACATCTTGAATACATAAGGCCGAAATACTATGCAATAATGGCGCTTGTCTGTTTTCAGTCGAGCAATGAAAGAATAATAACTCATTGACGTTATGTTAGCCCTTCTTCGTGCATGAATTTTTACGAATCCTTCTGTTGCCTTAAATTGAGGCAACGTGAAGAGTGAAGCCATAAGGCTGTAGGGCAAGAAAAGCTGCTGTTTGTGAGATCTGAGAGCTTATTGGTCAGGCTGGCTGGATCCTTTGGTTATAACTATCGACTACACCGCAAAGCTGCCGTGTGGATTTACGGTTGATGTGGGAACGCAGTGTATACAAACACTTGAAGTTTGGAAGATGATACCCTACTTGATGTTCTTTCTCTTCTGTAAACCTTAGAATGACCCTTACTGATACTGATCGGTATCGTAACCGAATTTATAATCAATTTCGTTAATTGATGTTTTTCCCTCTTTTAAAGAAAATACATTCTTCACATACTTCATTTTTGAAACATGAACGTTATGCGATCAGTGTACTGCTTATTTGGAGAATTGTTAATGAGGGCCTCCTTCATGTGTCTATGTTAAAGTGTGGGAGTTACGGCAACCGTAGAGCTATCAATATCGTGTGTCCATGTTAAAGTATGGGAGCTAAGACAACCGTAGAGTTATGTTTATCGTGTGTCCATGTTAAAGTGTGGGAGTTAAGACAACCCGTAGAGCTATGACTATCATCTGTCTATGTTAAAGTGCGGGAATTACGGCAGACGTAGCGCTATGACTATCATCTGTCTATGTTACAGTGCGGGAATTACGGCAGACGTAGCGCTATGACTATCATCTGTCTATGTTACAGTGCGGGAGTTACGACAGACGTAGCGCTGTGACTATCATCTGTCTATGTTACAGTACGGCAGTTACGACAGACGTAGCGCTATTACTATCGTCTGCCTATGTTACAGTACGGCAGTTACCACAGACGTAGCGCTATGACTATCATCTGTCTATGTTACAGTACGGCAGTTACGACAGACGTAGCGCTATGACTATCATCTGCCTATGTTACAGTACGGCAGTTACGACAGACGTAGCGCTATGACTATCATCTGCCTATGTTACAGTACGGCAGTTACGACAGACGTAGCGCTATGACTTTCATCTGCCTATGTTACAGTACGGCAGTTACCACAGACGTAGCGCTATGACTATCATCTGCCTATGTTACAGTACGGCAGTTACCACAGACGTAGCGCTATGACTATCATCTGCCTATGTTACAGTACGGTAGTTACCACAGACGTAGCGCTATGACTATCATCTGTCTATGTTACAGTACGGCAGTTACGAGAGACGTAGCGCTATGACTATCATCTGCCTGTGTTACAATACGGCAGTTACCACAGACGTAGCGCTATGACTATCATCTGCCTATGTTACTGTACGGCAGTTACCACAGACGTAGCGCTATGACTATCATCTGTCTATGTTACAATACGGCAGTTACGACAGACGTAGCGCTATGACTATCATCTGTCTATGTTACAGTACGGCAGTTACGACAGACGTAGCGCTATGACTATCATCTGCCTATGTTACTGTACGGCAGTTACCACAGACGTAGCGCTATGACTATCATCTGCCTATGTTACAGTACGGCAGTTACCACAGACGTAGCGCTATGACTATCATCTGTCTATGTTACAATACGGCAGTTACGACAGACGTAGCGCTATGACTATCATCTGTCTATGTTACAGTACGGCAGTTACGACAGACGTAGCGCTATGACTATCATCTGCCTATGTTACAGTACGGCAGTTACCACAGACGTAGCGCTATGACTATCATCTGCCTATGTTACAGTACGGCAGTTACCACAGACGTAGCGCTATGACTATCATCTGCCTATGTTACAATACGGCAGTTACGACAGACGTAGCGCTATGACTATCATCTGCCTATGTTACAGTACGGCAGTTACCACAGACGTAGCGCTATGACTACCATCTGTCTATGTTACAGTATTACAGTTACGAGAGACGTAGCGCTATGACTATCATCTGTCTATGTTACAGTACGGCAGTTACGACAGACGACGCGCTATGACTATCATCTGTCTATGTTACAGTATGACAGTTACGAGAGACGTAGCGCTATGACTATCATCTGTCTATGTTACAGTATGACAGTTACGAGAGACGTAGCGCTATGACTATCATCTGTCTATGTTACAGTACGGCAGTTACGAGAGACGTAGTGCTATGACTATCATCTGTCTATGTTACAGTATGACAGTTACGAGAGACGTAGCGCTATGACTATCATCTGTCTATGTTACAGTATGACAGTTACGAGAGACGTAGCGCTATGTCTATCATCTGTCTATGTTACAGTATGACAGTTACGAGAGACGTAGCGCTATGACTATCATCTGTCTATGTTACAGTATGACAGTTACGACAGACGTAGCGCTATGACTATCATCTGTCTATGTTACAGTATGACAGTTACGAGAGACGTAGCGCTATGACTATCATCTGTCTATGTTACAGTATGACAGTTACGAGAGACGTAGCGCTATGACTATCATCTGTCTATGTTACAGTATGACAGTTACGAGAGACGTAGCGCTATGACTATCATCTGTCTATGTTACAGTATGACAGTTACGAGAGACGTAGCGCTATGAATTTCATCTGCCTATGTTACAGTACGGCAGTTACCACAGACGTAGCGCTATGACTATCATCTGTCTATGTTACAGTATGACAGTTACGAGAGACGTAGCGCTATGACTATCATCTGTCTATGTTACAGTATGACAGTTACGAGAGACGTAGCGCTATGACTATCATCTGTCTATGTTACAATACGGCAGTTACCACAGACGTAGCGCTATGACTATCATCTGTCTATGTTACAGTATGACAGTTACGAGAGACGTAGCGCTATGACTATCATCTGTCTATGTTACAGTATGACAGTTACGAGAGACGTAGCGCTATGACTATCATCTGTCTATGTTACAGTATGACAGTTACGAGAGACGTAGCGCTATGACTATCATCTGTCTATGTTACAGTATGACAGTTACGAGAGACGTAGCGCTATGACTTTCATCTGCCTATGTTACAGTACGGCAGTTACCACAGACGTAGCGCTATGACTATCATCTGTCTATGTTACAGTATGACAGTTACGAGAGACGTAGCGCTATGACTATCATCTGTCTATGTTACAGTATGACAGTTACGAGAGACGTAGCGCTATGACTATCATCTGTCTATGTTTCAGTATGACAGTTACGAGAGACGTAGCGCTTTGACTTTCATCTGCCTATGTTACAGTACGGCAGTTACCACAGACGTAGCGCTATGACTATCATCTGTCTATGTTACAGTATGACAGTTACGAGAGACGTAGCGCTATGACTATCATCTGTCTATGTTACAGTATGACAGTTACGAGAGACGTAGCGCTATGACTATCATCTGTCTATGTTACAGTATGACAGTTACGAGAGACGTAGCGCTATGACAATCATCTGTCTATGTTACAGTATGCCAGTTACGACAGACGTAGCGCTATGACTAATATCTGTCCATGTTACGGCATGGGAGTTGGATGTACAATCGAGCATGCTCTTTCTACGAAGATTTCAAACAGCGACACACAACGTTCAAAAGATATCTGAGAAGGGTTACAACATGCAATGCTTGCCGTTGCATGTGTTTGTGACTGCTACCATCTGTGTAACAGGATACGTTTACCTGTTCGCGAACATGTGGCCATTAGTTCCTTTGATCTTGGATTTTTTGTCGCTTTTATTACTGTTTCAGACTTCATAAAATGTAGAATTAAAGTGATGCTGTTTAGTGAAAAAGAGTATTTGAGAATAATATAAACTTAATTTTGTTAACGCCTGTTCATACTGCTTTAGCGATTAATAGGATTTACCCACACGTGCTTGTAGAGTGTCTAAACCAAAGGGTTGGAGATGGCTTTGATCGGTTCCCATACATCAACACTGCCATGATCACATGTCAATGACTCAGGGGGCGGTGGGGTAGCTCAGTGGTTAAATCCTTCGCTAGTCCAACTGAGGGTCCGGTTCGATACCAAGATTGTGTGACACATAATGTATGTTCGTCATGTTTTCGTTTCGCCGCTGTAACAAAGGATGTTATGGCTACCTTTTTTAAACACTGGTAGACGGGGGGTTTCAAGACTGCATGGACGGAAAATACGAATAGTATATAATATGTCAAGAAACCAGTTGTTTACTATATATTCACTGGGTATTAATTACTGAGTATATTGATAATTATTTTTTAAAAAGTGTGAATTACTTTTGTTATTCACAGGATGCTTTACACAAATTTCAAATGTCTCATCATGTATATGTCCTTGTTTGATAGATACTTGCATTTTTTTAAAGTTCATGTGCTAAAACCGCTCGTCCCTCGTCCCATTCGTTTTAAGTTGTAAACATGTATGATATTGTACTTCAACGTGTGTTTTATTGTGGATTATTTTAATAATAAACTAAAGACAAAATCACTGACACGAATGTGACCCAAAAGAAATACAGGCGGAGCTCAGCAATTCTACAACATTAATACACTGGGCAAGGTACGTAGATTCTACAAACAGGCGTATGCATAAGGAAAACACTCCTATCCAGAGTATAAATTAACATTAGTTGCCCTTGAGTTATCCAAAAGGTCAGACAGACAACTTACGTTTGTATCCTTCCCTTGATTATAGAAAAAGGTATGTTGTTTCACACTTCTTCCAGCATTGAGTCGGGTGGGAATAGTACTGTTAGCTATCGACTCTATAGTTATGTGGTGTTCACTATCGCAATTAACGATATTTCTGACGTTAAATCTGTAGTGCGTTCTTCGTGTTGTTGAAGTGTCGATTCGA